GACTAGACTAAAATCTGATGTTTCTTTAGATTATTTGGAGTCACTATCAAAGAGAGATGAAGAAGAGTTAAAGTTTAAATAATATTGTTTTAATAAACAGAGACCAGAGAGTTTCATTTATTAAAGAGTTCCTCTTTGATGTCACTTCCTGTTTCATTTAGGCTGAACCAAGTTCAAAAGGAAATAGGCCATTTATGTGACAAAATGGGTAAAATCATGTGTGTTATGCCAATTTTCTTCAGTGTGAAGATGTTTTCTTTGACTTTTTGTATTTGAAGGATAGGCATGTCACAGGGCCTTTGATCTTCTTGTGAAGCCATACTGTGGTTGATTTGGGTGTAAGCTTTAGGTCTTGTCATTCTGAAAGTTTCTCTTCATCTTCAGCTTTCTAGCAGAAGCCTGAAGGTTTTGGGTCAAGATTGATCAGTATTTGGAACTGTTCACCATTCCTTCCACCTAAAGCTCCGGTCTCAGCTGAAGTAAAGCAGCCCTAAAGCATGATGCTGCCACCACCATGCTTCACTGTGGGTATGGTGTTCTTCTGGTCTGGTGCAGTGTTGGGTTTGTACCAAACATACCTTCTAGAATGGTGGCCAAAAAGTTCATGAGACCATCACACAGTTCCCCACGTCATTGGGAGACTTTGAATGTGTTTTTGAAAAATGTAGCTGGACATTGATGGGGGTTTTTTTTGTAAGAAAAAGCTTCCATTTTGAACTAAACACTACCCCATAGCTCAGAGATGTGAGGATTACAGGAGACTAACATACCTGTATACTACACATCCAGTACTTGCAATAAATTACTGTAGTTCCTTACATGTTGCTTTAGGCCTCTTGACATCCTCCCTGACCACAATAAATCGTGTCTTTTTAACAATTTTGGATGGACATTCAGTTATTGGTAATGTGTCATATTTCACCAGTTGATGATGACTGTCTTTACTGTGTTCCATGGTATGTCTAATGCCTTGGAAAATATTTTACGGTTCTTATGGATATATTTCAAAGGGACCCATAATTACTTAACATTAGATATTATTTGATAAATGTTTACTTAGACTGTAAAACAAAGACTGTAAAACTACTGTAAAAATGTCCTGATGCATCTCAGTAATCCAGGTGAAAAATCAAAAGGAAAAAAATTGTATAGGTCCTCTGGACGGGTTCTTCTTTAATGAAACGTTTCGTCTCTCTTCAAAGAGACTTCTTAAGTACAAGGAGGAAGTGGAAAAGAGAGCCTTGATGTCCTTTTCAGGGGTGCCACCGAGCCATTGGTTCAGATATGTTGACGACACCTGGGTTAAAATTAAAGCCCAGGAAGTCCAACATTTCACTGATCACATCAACTCMGTGGATGAATATATTAAGTTCACARGAGAGGATGTAAAAAATGGCAGGTTGGCGTTCCTGGATTGCGATGTCTCGGTTTTGGATGGAGGACGGTTGGAAACTGGCGTATATCGTAAGCCCACCCACACAGACCAATATTTGCGTTTTGACTCCCACCACCCACTGGAACACAAGTTAGGAGTGATCAGGACTCTGTACCACAGAGCAGACAGTGTCCCTACAAACCCAGGAGCCAGGCAGAAAGAGAAATCACACACACGACAGGCCCTGGAGCAGTGTGGTTATCCTGACTGGGCTTTCCTGAAAGCAGACAGGAAACACAGACAGGATTCCATGCAACCTTCAGGTGAAAATGAAGACCCCAAACCAGTGGTTATTCCGTATGTTGCGGGTGTTTTGGAGAAACTGAGACGTTTATTTTCTAAACATGATGTCACAGTGGCTTTCAAACCCCAAAACACATTACGGCAAAGGCTGGTTCACCTCAAAGGTCCGGTGCCCCGGCACAAACAGAGCAAAGTTGTATATGCTGTTAAGTGCCAGGAGGACTGCGACCAGTTATACATAGGGGAAACAAAGCAACCAAAGTTCAAAAGAATGTCCCAACACAGAAGAGCTAATTCTAATGGCCAGAACTCTGCAGTTTTCACTCATTTACAGGCCAGAAGTCACTCTTTCAGAGATGAGGATGTTCTCATTCTTGATAGAGAGGAACATTGGTTTGAGAGAGGAGTAAAAGAAGCCATTTTTGTAAAGAAAGACCGTCCATCATTAAACAGAGGTGGAGGCCTCCGTTTTCAGTTGTCCCCGTCCTACAGCGCTGCCATTGGCAGTATCACTCCACCCCCTGTTAACAATAGGTGTTAATTAGGTGTCAACAATGGCCATGTGATGTGAGTATCAGTCACCTGGAGGCAGGACTCAAAAGCCTGAATTTTGCCTGAAACTCTCAGAGTGAAGAAGTCTCTTCGAAGAGAGACAAAACGTTTCATTAAAGAAGAACCCGTCCAGAAGACCTATACAATTTTTTTTCCTACTGTAAAAATGCTGCAGGCTGTTAAGTTTTTATAAATGAAAAAAAAAATGTACACAAACAGCACCATTTTATTAATGATGAAAAGCATACTGAATAAATAATGACGTTCACTAGGTTTTCCTGTGTGAGGTTGTGTGAACTCTTATCGACCCTGAAGATTAATCCTGGACAATATCTGACGATCAGCCCTTTTAAATGAAACTACAGTGCCTTGACAGACAGGAGAATGTAAAAATGTCGCAGTCTGCAAATTAAAATGTAGACTGAGGACAACAAAGCTGCTTCATGGAAGAAGAACCTCAATTTAGCAAACACATTTATACAGTGAAATAGCTATGTATAAACTAATGCCACATACAGTATTTAATTTAATTTACTAATTTATAATTTATTCATGCATACATACATACATGTACATATACATACTGTAAGGGTCACCCTGGTGAAAAAAAACTTTTCTATTGTTTATTTTCTTTGTCTTTGATTTTATATTTTTACACTTACAAGAAGAAAATCATTTTAAAGTGTTTTTATTTTCTTTAAGTGAATAGGACAAAGTCCTATATATACACTCACCGGCCACTTTATTAGGTACACCACGCTAGTAACGGG